ATTTCTTTATTGCGGGTACCCTTGATGTGAGGCCTCATTTGGTTGGAAAATGCCCTACCTTACATCAATCACTGTGTTTCTGAGCACATCTGCTATCTCATAAAATGGTCAGGGCAGGCACAGTTGGATTTTGGAAATAGAAGTGGATTTACCAATGACAATAGCATTCCAGAGAAAGCAAGAACATCTTCATACCATATTGCTACAGATTTATCTGAAATTCCTGTCACGTTTTTAAGTTTTTTTTAGAGACAGATGCACTAGGATTGAATTAAGTGTTTTATTTCCAGAGGGATGAGTGTAAATTTTTAAATTCAGACTGATCTTGAAGTCCCATTTCTTCTAGGAAGTCTTTCCTGATTCATTGGATAAGTAGTTACAAAGAACATTTTATTCCTATTTGTTGCCAATATCACCCCCAGGTCCCAAATCCATTCTTTTGTCTTTAGATACAGGAAATAACCCTTATCAAATATTACATTTGCTTAATTGGTGACTGCATGTTTGTGACTTAATCTAAGGTTCCAAAAAGGCAGGGGTTAGATGCCAGGCCCAGTACCTTGAGCAGACAGGGGCTGCTGGAAATAAGGTTGAGAAGGGTAGGGTGAGCTACCAGGGACCCAACTAGTGCCTGGGAACTGGCTACCTTTTTAATCTTGGCTGTCCCAGGACTCTGGGAGTGTGCCGTGGGCCTTTCTGGCATCGGTGTGGTGCCTGTGTAACTCTCCCACATGTTGGGAAGATAGGGACCCACATGTCTTTGTGCTTTGCCAGGGCGTGGGCTGCAGCAGGACAGAGGTTGTTAAGCAGAGCTGGCTGGGGATGCTGAAGAGCCTTGGGAGCTCAGGCAGAGCAGGAGTCTAGCCAGATTGAGACTTGAAGATCAGATGAGGTGGTGGAGAGAATCAGAGAGGGCAGGAAAGGTATGAAGTGTTGGTCTTGATAGTCAAAGCAATTTGAAGAACGATAGAATGGTGAGAACAGCAGGGTGCAATGAAGAATGCACCTTTTACATGGCAACCTCAATTCCAGGCATGATCTGGGAGCTGAGGCTTTCCTTCACTTCTCTAGGATCAGTCTCCTCACTGGTAAAACGAGATGTTTGGTCCAGAGCTCTCTAAATTCTCTCTCAGTAATAACATCTTAGGGGCTTGTTCGTCTATGACTCATGCTTTTAGTCCTGGTGGATGTTTATAGATCTGGAGTCACCAACCAATCACTAGGAAAGTGATTTCGAAATTTCAACATTTTCCAGCATTTCAAAAACAATAACAAAATTCTCTTTTCCTACAAAAGGACCACAAGGAGATGATCACTTAAAACTGTAGTTTGATGATGGAGTTTAGGAGGAAATAAATAAAAGATGTTATTTGTGGTAAAAAGTTTGAGGAACTGTTCATGTTCATTTCTCTCATTTTGTATATCAAGAAAATGAGGCCAGGAAAGGAGAAATCATTTGCCAAAGGAAACCTAGCAAGGTAGAGGCAGAACAAGAATCAGAAGACTCCAGTTTTCTAATAACCCAGTTCTGAGCTTTTATTACTCCAGCCCCTTTACCACAGGCTCATGTGCCAACATCCCTTATAAAGAACAGGATCTAAGCTTTGGAAAAATGTTCTAGCTTTCCTTTCTCTGATAAATAGAAGGCAGGTTTGATCTAGCAACTTTCCCTTCTAGCAGTTCCAGAAATTGGGGCTTAGACTGTGATGTAACCCAGTAGCACTAGAGGAAGGATGCTGAATTATCCTTACTGCTAGTGTACTGGGCATAGGTGTGTGGGGTGTGTGTGAAAGGATTGAGTAGGGAAGAAACCTGTGTTTCCTGTAGGAAGAGCATGGTTTCTGCAGAGCCTGAAAGGCAGCTACTTGGAGGAATAGAAGAGTTATGAATTGGGAATAAAGGGACCTGACTATGAATCTGGCTCAACCCTGTGACCTTGGAGAAGTGATTTGACTGGGCCTCAGTTTCTTCCTCACTTATAAAATTGTGGGGGAGGGGAGTAGAGAGTGCTAGATATTTGCTAAAGGCCTTTCAACCCTGACACTGTAAGTATGCATACTTCACGGAGCTGTTCTGGTTTCTCATAGGTGAAGGGGCTACTGAGTTCAGTTCTTAGATGAGTAGTAAGTCCCACAAAGACTGAGTCTGTCTATCTTATATATCAGGACCATCAAAATCTTCCTGAAGAACAGCTTCATTCATTACTCCCCTGCTCAAGCTCTTATTACTTCATACTGCCTATAGGGAAAAGATACTGTTTCTTTGCTTGACATTTAAACTTCCAAGACTTGGTCCATGTTACCTATCCAGCTTCATCAGTTGCCATTTCTAGAGATGCAGGTGTTTAGAATTAGAGAACCAAATTTCAATCTCAGCTTCACCTCTTTGCAGCTCTGTGACTTTAGGCAACTTTCATAACCTCTCTGAGTGTTATATGTAAAATGAAGATGATAAAGTACCCAGTTCCTCACTTTAATATGAGGGTTCAATGAAATATCATTAAAATTGAGTCAGTACTGAATGAATATTAACTCACTCTCATTTACACAGTTAAAGAATATGTTTCTTGAGAATAGGAATTGTTCACCTCTTTTATATCCTCAGAGCACAAATTCCTCAACAGAGCAAATGCTCAATAAACATTTTTTTTTGATAGATTGCTGTCTTGTCTTTTCTATAAATTGTCTAGATTAGCTGAAACATTTATTTCTCTTTTACAGTTTGCCCAGCTAGTGGCCATCTACAAAGCATTGGGAGGAGAAAAGTTCCCACTAATTGAGCAAACATACTATCCCAACCACAAAGAGATGGTAAGTGATCAGGTGGGGATTTTGGTCTCTATTCCCACTCTGAACTTATTCACATTATAACTGTGGGGCTCTGAAGAGGGTTTTAGTATCTTAACTCCAGTTGTGGCTGAGCTGCAGACCTGCTTTGTGAGGTCAAAGTGGCTGTATTTTAGTTTATAGTCCCTTGTCTCCAAAACCTGGAGACAGAATAGGGAAGTGCAGAAATAAGGAATTTTATCAAACAGAAAATAACAAACCTATGGATCAGTAATCAAAAGATCCCACTCTTTGGATTCTAGCCCTGGCCCTGCCACATGTCATTGGACCAGTTAAATTTCTTTTCCAACTTTAAAGTCCAATGGACATAATTATTCCTAACCAGGATCTTGAATTTGGTACAAAATATAAGTAATAGCCTTCTGGGAAAGTGTGAAGCATCCTTCAGATGTTATTCCTGCTATTATTACCAAAGCCTTTCTTTCCCTTGGCTTTGTCAAGATTGTGAGAAGACTAGGTTAACATAATGCCTTCTCTGAGGCCATTCTAGTATATCAGAAGGGGCAGAGAGATGGCATGATTGGTTGGTTTTTCCTCCATGGAGACCTAGAGCTCAATCCCTTTTCTTCCTCTCTGTCTCCACACCCTCTGCTGCAGGCCTGCATGGTCAGTTGGTGATAATGCTTAACTCACCAATGGAGGCTCTCTGCTATAGCATTCCAATTGTACTCTGGGACAGAGATTATGTTTGTTACCCTCTCACTCCCTTCTCAAAAAGGAACTACATTTGTACCAGTTCTGTGAATCAAGAGCCTTCTTCTGGCATATTGTGCATGGCCTCGCTTCTCATCAAACAACATAATAGAAAACAAATAACAACATCCTTAGGCCTTGAATAGAACTACCTCCTTCATCTTTCTCAGAGCTTCCCAGGGAGAGGCTCTGGGATTTTAAGCTCTTGTCCTTAATAAATCCTTGAGACCAACATCAGGGCTTAAGGGATCTATCTATGCTTGGAGTTCTCAGGGAGTCCAAGACACAGTGGTAAGGGGACTGAGTTGAAGGAAGGATTGGGACCAAAGCTGGATTTTTCTTGCTGTAATATTTAGCAGGGCTAACCACAAACACTATTTTGAAAAAATTGCAAAGTATATTGTCTATTTACCATCCTTTTTCCCACAAGGGCCCTTGAGTTATTTCTCTCTTGTTCTCTAGCCTGAAATTTGCCCTCCAAATAAGTCCTCCTAAGATCTCTCTGAGGTGTCAAAATCTAAAGGAGAATTTCAACTTGAGGCTTTTTTGGCTTAAAAAAAGTTTTGAAGTAGGAATTAAGATATTAGTAACCTAGAAGAGAAGGGTTTTTTAAAAGAAACATAAAAGAAGACTTATGGACATCAGGAGAAGGTATTAATGATAATTAACCTGCAGAGATAAAACCCACGTCTATTCTTATCCAAAGAGGTGTGCTAGGGGGCCAGACCCTCTACCAGGAATTGGATAGAGATTACAGCATGTAGTGGATGGTTAGGCCATTGTAGGTCTAATATTGAGTGATTCTGTACCCCAGCAAGTCATTTCCCTAAACAAATGAAAGTGTAAGAGAGGATCAGGATGAGCTGAAATTGGAGTAGAGAATACACAGCTATACTTTGTTGCTCTTTTTATTCTTCCAAATCAGCCTGTTTATGATACTGCCAACCTGTCTTCTGGTATTGTATATCAGATAGGTACACTATCTCATATGTATAGCATTCACCATTTCTTCACTATTGGATCAATTAAGGTAAGAGAAAACACATTTTCTTAGAGAGAAAAGGGAATAGTTCTGATCAGAACTATTTTGATTCTAAGCCAGAATCAAAATTTTCAGTAACAGGTATTGGCTAGAACAGTGATCGGCAAACTCATTAGTCAACAGAGCCAAATATCAACAGTACAATGATTGAAATGTCTTTTGAGAGCCACATTTTTTAAACTTAAACTTCTTCTAACACCACTTCTTCAAAATAGGGAAGTGCAGAAATAAGGAATTTTATCAAACAGAAAATAACAAACCTATGGATCAGTGAGAAGACTAGGTTAACATAATGCCTTCTCTGAGGCCATTCTAGTATATCAGAAGGGGCAGAGAGATGGCATGATTGGTTGGTATTTTGTGGAAGAGCCACACTCAAGGAGCCAAAGAGCCGCATGTGACCCGTGAGCCACAGTTTGCCAACCACAGGGCTAGAATAAAAGGGTTTGGGAGGCAGGAGAGAAGGGTTGAGGGCAGGATACTTTCCCTAGCTTTTGACATGTTCTGGGCTGGGGTTTCAGACACAAGCTGTAACATACCCTAGCCCTGCTCTAACACTAGCCAGACTGTCCACTTGATACTTCTCATTTGCTGACAGCAGTGAGGCAAGTGGTGATAGCCAGAACTCTAGTGAGGGAGAACTGGCTTGGTCTTCAGAACTCTTGAAGGAATGTGGTGGTCATTGTTCCCTACTAGGGCTGGATGATGTCAACAAACTCCTTCCTGAGGGGCAGGCGTCCCTGGTACCAGCTGCAGGTGCCATCAACACGCTTCATGCAGACATAATGCTGGGCCTGGTACCCATAGAGTTTTCTTTCCAATAGCCAATCTGTCCAGAGGCACTCATTGGGGGCTGAGATGGTACAGGGCACTGTATAGCAGGTGGTGATCTAGAATCATAACAACACAACAAAGTGAATAGGGTGTAATTTTTCTACAATTTTTTTTCAGACTCATCTACAACCTTACAGCCTAGCTCAATGGTTGGCAAACCGCGGCTCGCGAGCCACATATGGCTCTTTGGCCCCTTGAGTGTTCTAATGCCACTTCTTCAAAATAGACTCGCCCAAGCCAAAAACCGACTTCTGTGCATGGGCCACGAAGTTTCAATTGCACTGTACGTGTACGCCCGCATGTGGTATTTTGTGGAAGAGCCACACTCAAGGGGCCAAAGAGCCGCATGTGGATCGTGAGCCACAGTTTGCTGACCACTGGCCTAGCTCAAATGCCTTTGCCTTATGAAGTCCTTCCTAGTCTCCAAAATTCCCCAAGATTTCCTTCCCCTGTGTTTCCTACGTACAGTTTTGCCTCTCTAATGGCATTTCTGGAGTCAGACAAACCTGAGGGTCATTACTCTACCATTGGCATTGAGCAAATTACTTTCTAGATCATTAATTTCTTTACTTTAAAATGGAAATCTTAATTATTTATACATTTGTTATAAAGGCTACATTAAAATATTTAAAATATATTGACCATTAGGGCCTGGCAAAGGGTAGTTTCTGTTAAAATGTTAGCTATACTATTTCAGTTTGCCTTATGTGCCCACCTTCCTTGCCAAAATGTTAGGTACATTGAGATCAGAGACTATGGATCATCTTGCTTTCCCATCTCCAACTTTATATAGTACCTGATCCATGGCAGATCTCAAGTATACTATAGTAAGTGAATAAACACATTCATGAAGGAAGAAGTACCATCAGTAGGTGCCATTAAAGGTGGGGCTGAAAGGCTCAAGATACCCCACCCCCCAAAAAAAAAAAAAAAAAAAAAAGACCTTGGAAATGGACATTCTCTTACTTGGCAGCCACAGTTCATATGGTAGTGGTGGTTCAGACTTTCCCTTTGCAAAAAGGATAGGTTTTCCCAGGGCTCAATGTAGTTGCACAGATGGATGAAGACCTTTCCATCATTGAGGACCTGACCTACAAAGGAAGATAGAGGAGAACCTATGTTTGTGAAACTCCAGAAACCTGGGTCCTTGAAGAGCCCAGAATTGCAGCCTCTTTAGTGTGTGTGTGTGTGTGTGTGTGTGTGTGTGTGTATGTGTGTGTTTTGTTTTGTTTTGTTTTGTTTGGTGGCAGTGGTGACATAAGGCTCAATTCAGGGACCAGAAAAACTCCACAATCTTTATATCAGAGATTATGTTTGTACAAAGGAGAGTTGTGGAATACAGGCCTTTTCCTTTAATGTGATGCAGAGAAAACATGGGCTATAAAGTGAGATTCTTGGTGAAACCCCTTTCTTTTCTGTCATTTACTAGATGTGGGACCTTAATAAAGTCATGTAACTTCTCAACTGGAAGATAAGAATAATAAGGTTATTGTCAGGATTAAATGAGAGAATATTTGGTAAAGCTTCCAGCACAGTAGGAGGCCCATAGAAGATGCTCAATAAATAACAGGCCCTTCCCCTTTCCAACCCTTCCCAATATCTACATAGGCCAGTCTTCTGCTCCATTGATACCTAAATTGGTAAGACTTTCTCATTCTCCATGGGAAAGTGTCCCTTCTTTACTTATCAAACTGTTTCCTATCTTCCAAAGACCCTTTTCAATACTACCTCATCCTCAAAGCCATTCCTGACCATGCTAGGTTACATCTCTTAGAACTTTAGTCACTCATTTACTTACTGAGCAACTACTAGACTGGTATCATGGATGCAGAAATAAATATAGTAGGATCTTTGATCTCAAGGAGCTTAAAAACAAGTAGGCCAGAGAGATAAGTAGGCAAAAATTATACAGTTATGTTTATATAAAAGATGCAACATAAGAACAAAGGAAATAACAATTATCTCTGTCTGTGGAAGGGGCAGGGGGCAAGGAAGCTGTCTAAGAGGAGATGATGCTCCTGATGGGCTTTGAAGGGATGGTTAGGAGTTCACGTGCCAGTCAGGTTGGGGGAAAGACTTCTGGACGTTGGGACTTCCAGTACAAAGGTGGAGGGGCTCAGCCCAACCGAATACCTCCTATAACTGCAAGTAGTTTATTTCAGCTCTGGGGAAAATGAGGGGCTAGAAACTGTCAGTGATAAGTGGCAGGAGACAAAACTGGAGAGGTCAGCAGTGTTATGGTCGCAAAGGACTTTCATTAGGCAAAAGAGTTTGTGACTTCTCTTGAAGAGCATGGGCATCACTGATGACTTTTCACTAGACCTGTGTTTTGTCACTTATTTTCATTCTTGGTTAGACTTGACCTCCTTGAGGGCAGAGAGCACGCCTCACCTCCTGCTTTGACTGATGCACTACAGTGCCTAGCAGTGGGCTAAGCACGCAGAAGGTAGGTGCTTAGAAAGGAAGGAAGTGGCTTCATCTGCTAGTCCTGGGATGTGGAGGGCTCAGTGGCATGCTCTGCCTCTGCCTCTCCCATCCAGAGACTCTCAGATTAGTACAATTCCACATTCTTAGAGCTGGGGAGCCCTTACCATTATGTCTTTCAATGCTCACGAGTTCTCAAGAGTCAAATTTGGAGTATGAGCTTCTTGAGGACTATGACTTGTGACTGAGTCTCCACTCTCCTGTCCAAGACCTGGCAGCAAGTAGGTGGTCATTCATTGCTGAGTGGATGGACAGATAGGAATTTATCCTTATCAGCTATGTTTTTCTTTTTCTTACCTTTCTAAGCATTTTTTTTTTTATCCTTCAGGGCTAATTTAGATATCACTTTCCACAATGAAGCATCCCTAACTGTTTATAACCACATACATACCTTCTTCCTGAACTACAAAATATTATAATATTGCATTCACTCAATTTTGGAGGCATAGTTTTATGTGGTTCTTCAACTGTTCTGTCCCAACCAATTCAGCATGGAGTTTACCTGCCAGACAAGCTGGTGGAAAGACTTCTGGACATTGGGATTATACTGTGCAAACGTAGAGGGGCACAGTCCAGCTGACTATCTTCTATAACTGCAAGTAGTTATACCTGGGACCAAGTTCATGGAAACAGAACCATGTTAGACTCAAGGTTCCTGTTAGGGTTTGTGCCCCAGAATAGGGCCTGGGGTGTGAGCCACACAGGCTCATTGTGAGTCAGGAGTATGATCCAATGTGGCTGTCTAAAGCTAATTCCATCAGAGGCTACAGTAACTATAATGTGTGTGTTGTGGGGAGGAGGATCGCACATACAAATTTCCTTTACTATGTGAAGTTAAGACCTTTCCTGTAGTGTTGTGTCCAGTTCATTGTCCTGTGCTAGGAAAGGGACAGGGACAATATCCCATTGGAGAAGATGGTCAGCAGACCTGAAGTTAGAGTGCTTGCATCTATTGTCTTCAGGCCTCTGAGGGATCATCATAGAGCAGAGGGCAGAGCTGAATTCACAAAGAGCAGTTTCAGAGGGGCAGACTTGGGCTCAAGATACCAAAAATCTTATGCTAATGAAAAATATTTGAAAATGGAACCAGCTAGGCTAGGCTGGGAGAGCAACTTGTTCCTAAATTAGTGAAGCAGTGGTCAAGGTCACTGTAATGAGGATTCTTGCATTGAAAGGGAGGTAACCAAGGCCCCTCCTGACTTAGAGGTTGCCTCTTAGTAACACAGCTCTGTTTTATGCCCAAGAATGTGTCACCTGCTCAGCTTGCTGCCCAAGGGCAGCCCTGGCTTCTCCTTGGCTGTCTTCCTTAGGACAGAGACTATTGGGGCCACTTGCTGCTCTTTAACTTACCAGTCAAGAGATACTGCTTCTGGCTGTTTGCTTCTAGTTTCACACCACAGAGGGAGGAATCAAAAGGTGTATAGATATACTGAATATCCTTGACTTTCTCAAACCCTTTAAACATCTGAAAAACAATTACAAAAAAGAAGTATTAGGTCAGTGAGTGAACTACATATTTTAACAGGGAAAATTCCTCAATCTAAAAAAATTAAGCAAATGTCTAGTCCAGGATTTGATGCGCACAGATAGCCTAACTGGGTCATTTCTCTCTTTTAAAAACCTTGGTTTATTCCAGTGAGAGGGGAAGTACTTCCAGCAGCCCCATGCACAGGCAGCTATAGGACTGGAAGGACATTGAGGGTCTGTCCTGCATTGTCATTCAGATTCTGTTCCCAAAATGTCATCCACTTCCATATTATTGATAGCATCAACACCCAGGATTACTGAGCCAGGTTGCCTAACCTATAAGCACCACCCTTCCCAAAACACAAACCCTAACCCTCCCAAAAGCCCAGAAGGTAAAAGCACTGTCTGTCCCCATGTACCTTTATCTGTTTGATTTCATACCGGATCATTTTTTGAGTGTCAGCAGGATCTGCACTGGCAGGAATTACCTTCTCACTGGAGATCTTGGCCCGGATCACTGCACAGGAAGCAAAAGAGGGAACCTTCAGCAACCTGTGGGGGTAATTTGGGATCTGGATGACCTGGGGCCCCCAGACAATTTTATAGGAGGATTCTGGATTGTGAGGAGGAGGATATGAGAGAGCAGGAGCCTGGAAACTCCTGTGCAGTCAGACCTATTAGGTCCTACAGTCTCTACACTTTACTTGCTAGTTTTGAGTCTAGCTCATAAACCAAGGACTAGGGGTGGACATCAGGATAGAGGATGGAGAAGGAGCCCAGGACATCAGGATAGGAGATGGAGAGGAGGGTAGGTCAGTGTGGTCATCTGTTGATGTAGCCCAAGACCTAAAACAGAGCCTGCACAGAGTTTTGGTTTCTTGAGCCCAAATGCTTATTGAATTAATAAATGATCTGACCCTGCACAGAGGTAGTTCATCTATTGCCATTTGGTTATTAATAAAAAACTGTTTTTGAAGTTCTTCCTCTGTGCCTGGCCTAACACTAGGTACCAGGTCATAGATGTGATTAAAACAGGGTCCTCTATCTTGCAGAAGTCTTGGTCTAGTGGAGAACACATTTGCAAACAACAGTACAGCATAGTAGGAGCACAAAAACGTTAAAAATGCCATAGTAGCACCAAGGAGTCAGGAAGCCTTCAGAGAAAAGGAGATAGATATCTGTTAGACTTTGAAGAATGAATAGTTTTAAGGATGGGGGAAAGGGCATTCCAGGCAGAGGGAAGGGTAAAATATGTGTATTGGTATGAGTATATGATGGCTCAGTTATAGGCTTGGTCACAGGGGAGTTTATAACGAAAGCCCTACCTCCTGGTGCTGGCTTCCCCCTCCCCCACCCAGTAGTTCAGAGTAATCACAGGATAGTTCCAGTGACTTGTTCAACGACAGTAGGCAGGGGTGAGGGGGCCGCTATGGAGGCCCCTTACACTGTCTTAATTTCCTGACAAGTCAGCCAAGCTCTGCCCTTGCAAGGTTGCTATGGTGCCGGCCTTGCCCTACCCATCAACCCCAACCGGAGGCAGCTGGTTCGGGATTTGAGCTCCTCCCATTCCCTCCAGACTACAGGTCTATGGCAATGCCCCGCACTAATCACACACAACCACCCCCAGCTGTGTACCTCCCTGGCTTCCGGACTCACCAAGCGCAGAGTGGCAGACATGCTGCTGGGGGTGCGAGGGGGCGCAGCTGCACGCCTCGACCAGCCCGGGCGGCCGCAGCAATGCCAGCAGCCGCAGCAACAGCGCCCAGCTCGACGTGGTCTGGAGGCTCCGGGGCATGACACTGCAGAGCCCCAACTAAGTCTGTGGGGGTCTGTCGGATCAAACAGACTCTCCAGGGCACTTCCAGAACGCCTCGCGCCCCTCGCCCCTCGCCCCAGGCTTTATGAGGTGGACCTAAGGCCAATCCCGCCCTTTGGGCTCCGCCCGCCTTTGGCTGCAAGCCACCCGCGGCTACAGAACCCAAGGCCCTCCCGACTGGCAGCCTCAATAAGATGAAGAGGGAAGCCAGGAGAAGCCCTTAGCTTCCATTTCCGTGCCTGAGCAATTAAGCCTCCCAGAAGTGGAGGGAAGGCACTGGGAGAGGGGATGGTGTCATGGCAAAAAGAAAGTGCAACAAAGACAAATGCAAGAGGCAGAAAGACCAAAGGACTGTGATTCAGGCAGAAAGAACAAGAGTGAGGAGAGGCACAAACAGAAAGAGTGAGACAGGCAGAGTCATCCAGAGGCAGGCAGAATTACAACAGGCAAAAGAGACAGTGACAGAGAAGGACGAACCCCTTGCTGAGCTGCACACTGGGAATGAGACAAGCTACTCAGGGCTTCTTTCAGCTGCAGGAAGTGTTTTCAATGCCCTATTTAGGAGCTCCAAAGCAACAGTAAACAGTAATGGAACAAGACAGAGAAAGTTGGTGTGTGTGTGTGTATGTGTGTGTCTTGGCTCTGTAGGCTGGGGGGTGGGGAGAGATGTCAGAGAAAGCAGCCAGTGCTTTAGAAACCCTTTCCTATACCCAGAGCTTCAGATTGCAGATGGCTGAGGAGAGTGCTTTTGGTGAGGGCTCAAAGCACAGGATTTTTATCATTACCTAATATAAATCTGAGACCTCAAGCCTCTTCAGATAGTAGCCTACTGATTCTTACCTTATGTTGCTACCCACTGAAGAGACCATGTCTTATATAAGATGGGGGCAAAAGTAGGCTTGGAGAATAGTTCTTTTAAGTTTTTATTATTCCTCTGTTAAAATACAACTACCTCAAAGTAGAATTTACATTCATAATAATCTCTTTCAAATTACAATCATGTTGACTTTTCAAAAATTAATTTCTTTATTGATTAAGGTATCACATATTTGTCCTCAACCCCCCATTCCAATCCCCCACCACACTCATGCCCCCCCCCCCCCCCTATTGTCCTTGACCACTGGTTAGGCTTATATGTGTGCACATAAGCCCTTTGGTTGATCTCTCCCTTTTATCCCCACCCTCCCTTTGAGGTCCAACAGTCTGACCCATGGCTCCTTATCTCTGGGTCTGTTCTTGTTCATCAGTCTATGCAACTCTCTTCCAAACCCCAAGCTGTCTGAACATACTAAGCTGTTTGTTGGTTGAGCTTGGGGTGTTGGTGAGCAATGAAGAGACTGTGAAAGGTGGAGAAAAGACAGGTTCAGTACAGAAAAGCTAGATGTTTGAGGGGAAGGAGGATACTAAGAGGGACATGACCAAAGGGACATTAAGATTCCAAAGATATATTCCTTTTGTAATTATGGTTTACTAAGGTATAATTTACATACAGTAAAATTCACCCTTTCAAAGGTGCATTTTTTTTTTCCCACCGTAGCTGATTTGGTTCAGTGGATAAAGCATCGTCCTGCAGACTGAAGGGTCATGGGTTCAATTCCAGTCAAGGGCACATGTTGTGGTTGCGGGCTCCATCTCCAGTAGGGGACTTGCAGGAAGCAGCCGATCAATGATTGCTTGTCATAATTGATGTTTTTGTCTCCCTCTCCCTCTCTCTCTGAAATCAATAAAAAATATATTTTAAAAAAAGATTCATTTTTTTCAAATTCTCCAGTCCTGCCCTATGTTTGTTTAATGCAGAGAAGATTGAAACAATTAGTTTTAAATATGTAGAGTACCAAGTAGGAGAACAGAGTTCTTATAGATCTGCCATTAACATGCTATGACCTTAAGCAAGTCACTGTCACTCTATGGGCCTCAGTTTTTGTATTTGTAAAGCACATAGGTTGGACTAGTTTTTTAAAGGGCCCTTCCAAGGGTGTTCCCAACAAAAATATTTGTAACATTCCACAGAAAAACAGGCACACTCTGACCAATTCATTCTTTTCTCTTCTGTTTTCAGCTGACATTGCCCACATTCCCTGTGGTGGTGAAGATTGGCCATGCTCACTCGGGCATGGGAAAGGTAAGGCTGGGGCCTGCTGTGCTTTGGAATTGAGGCCAAGAAGGGTACTTTTCAGAGAGTCTGGTTATGGACGATTATCCCTCTGTTACTGATTAATTCTTCCATGATTTGGCTCCTCTGAAGCTATGAGTGTTAACCCAAACAGGCCTTTTCAACAAGCCAAGTGTAGGCCACCTGCTTGGTCTGTTGGGCCTTTTGCAATAATTGTAGTAGCTCCTGAGCCTAGGAAGGGAAGCTGGAGAGAAGGACTCTCCTAAGATGTGGCACTCAGGCTGGCAACTGGAATGGAAACATCTTGATGGGTTTGGAGGCCCCGGATTCTTGTGACTCTCAGTGTGTATATGTGTATGTCTCCTTTTTCCCCTCTCTGCCTTGCTCCAAAATTAGGTCAAAGTGGAAAACCACTACGACTTCCAGGACATTGCTAGCGTGGTAGCCCTCACCCAGACCTACGCCACAGCAGAGCCTTTCATTGACGCCAAGTATGACATCCGGGTCCAGAAGATAGGCAACAATTACAAGGCTTACATGTGAGTGGGGTGGGTTTCCAGCAGATACTCTTTGCTTTCTCCTCAACTCAGAGGAGAATTCGAGCCTCTACTTAGCAGCCAGTATTCAGTTAAATTTCCTCTGGCCCACAAGGCAGAGAACAGAGAGAGGGTGCCATTAAGTGAGGAGTCTTAGCCTGGGTTCCTTTCAAGTCAGGGAGGCGTGGGGGGGGGTCCATGAACTAAGATGAGAAATAACAGTAATATTTATTTTTATTAGCCTTTAAATAAAATTTAGCATTCTCCCTAGTTATGAACAAAGACAACAGGCTATAGTAGCAGCAGTAGCATGAGTGACTTTGTCACTACAGATAATCACATAGATTCTTATATTTTTATACAGTTGTGACAGATATCTCTAAATACAATTACTATTATCACTACTAAAGAATCATGGCAGTTATTAGACCTGCCACTACAGTTACCCCTGTAAATATATTTGTTATTTATAAAAAAACGTTTTGACTTATCACAGATTTGTTTGTTTAATATTTTGGTAACTATTATGATAATTACTTTAAATAATTGCATTCCTTTGTTATCCTGTATACTTTATTTTATACATTTACACATCTTATATTTTATAATTGAAAGGAAATCACATGCTTCACCAGGCTTCCAGAGCACAGAAAAAGTTAAGAAACTCCTGATGTAAATATATAGACTATAGAGCATTAAAAGCCTAGTTGTTATGAGAAAAGATGACTTTTCTACATTTGCCAAATGGAAAGTTAAAGGTTTCCACTATTAGAATTTAGAAAAAGAAAAGATTTCAAGTCTACCAGATCTTCCATAATAATATACTTATACATAAGAATGCAAATGTATTATAATTCCAGTTTTGGCAATCTGAATCTTCCATTTTTAGAAAAAAAATTTAGGTAGTTTTTTGTTTTTTTACAAAGACAGAACATTATAGTATATGAATTTGATCTTTGCTACTTATGACTTTAGCAGATTTCAGGGTTGAGTAGCTTCCCTTTCCTTTATCATTTCTATTTCTCTTCCTTCATTCCCTATTTAGTTTTTCTACTTCCCACCCCTTGAATTAGTAAGGAGCCCTTTCCCTATAACTTCCTTCTCATAGCTATAGTTTAGCCCTTTTCACATGTGTGATTTGAATTACTCTCCTCTGATCTCTCTAGCAGAAATGTTAGAATCATCTCTGCAGGACCACTGCCTTATGCAACAATAGGTACATAGTGGGCACCCAATATGTATTCAGAGAACAACTCAGAGAGAATTGAGACATCAATTTTTTCCCTTTATTGACTGGACTCCTACTTTTTAAAAAGTTTATAATTTTTACTTGTAGTCTTTCTGCTTCAGAAAGGAAGTTAGGGTTGCTTGAAAATTATGCACAATGTAAGAAGGGATAATTTAAAAGACCATTGTAAAAATACTATCTAAAGCAGAAAAATAATATATTCAGCCACTAAGAAAGCAGATTTCCTATCCTTTAATGTTAAAATCTCCTAAATAAATTTTTTTTGACAAAGAAGCAAGAGTGTCTTTATCCTTAAAAAGGAGACACACCACATTTTTAAGGGTTAAGGTTTCCAAAAGCAATTTAAATGAAGCATAAGAGAATCTCAACTATTGATAAAGGGTGGGCAACCAGAACAGCTTTAGAAATTATTTACTTCCTTTTTTATTTGCAAGAGACAGACAGTTATTTGGCTCTTCTTCCCAAAACTTTGGCTATCCCTTTGCTCTCAGAAGAAGGAATTGGCTTGGCAATAGCCAAGATAAACTTTTAAATTCTTTCCTTCTCCCTCAGTTCTCACCCTAGAGATCCAGGGGCAGACATATTTGGTGAAAAGAAGGTGCTATTCCTGCCCCACTCTCACTAGGCAATAATTTGGGTCCTTCTGTGGAGTTCAGATGTCCAGCAAGTCTCGGTGCCCCCTTTGTCCCCACATTTCCCAGGTATCCTGTATGGATCTGTGCCATGCATGCTGTTATTAGAGAAAGGTGTGAAGTGTAAGAGACATTATTATTGCTTATTCAAAGTTTCTAACAACCCTCTATGTACTATGGCCCTGTTCTAGGGACATGGAAACTCCCTGCCTCTGCCCTTGGGGAATCAGCTTTGTCACAGGGGCACACTTGTAAAATACCAGTGATAGGAAGACAATGTTATTTTCATTTGATCTGTCTTTTTATTGCTACTCAGATTTTTCAAACCACTCCACTGTGAGTTGCTTGTTTTTTGTTTTGTTTTTTCTTTCTGAGCGTGGTAGTGGGGTATAGAGGTAAATGTAGCACAATGGGGGAATAAAGAGTCCTGGGTTTTTATCTTATATCTACGTTGACTAGACATACAATCTTGGACAAATCATCCAACCTCTGAGTCTTAATCTCTTTGTAAAGTGGAAGCAAGAATCCCAGCCC